AAGAATTTTTGGGTACACGCTGTAATATTTATATGAACACTGTCTGAAATATTTTTCTCATGAACATGCTATTTAATGGTTAGAGAATTCCAAATAGTACAATGTGTAATCTTGAACTTTTCACTTCTACAGTCCGCTGAATGAAGTTAGCAGGCTTTTGAAGTTTCGTTGACCTGTGTACAGGTTTCTCTTGTTCATTTTTTTTATTTTGTTTTAATCATTACTTTTCATTTATCTAAAGCATATTTCAACAAAAATAATGAATATCACATATAATCAGATATTCACTTGTATAGCTTTAATAAATAATCATTTAAGTTATTTTCTATTTTAATGATTGTAGTCATTCAAATATTTTCATTAACATTGCAAACATAATATAGATGAACAATTATGTCTACATCATCGCTAAATATCTGAGACGTCTATAATTAGTCATTGTTATTTAGAAGAAGAAAAAGCGCTGATGATTATTTCTAAAATTCTTGATTTAAATTTTTTAGTCATTCAAATGAAATTTAGCGCATGGAATAAATATCATACAATCATATTTAGAGACAATGTTCCGTTTTCGAGATTGTCGTGTCACAAAACATGGACTGTGGATGCGGAGATTGAAAAAGAAAAAGAAACTCGAATGATTGCTCTAAAATACTTCACACCTTAATTACATTGGTATATGATCATGAAATTTTATCTAAATACTAGTCTCCGCATCTTGATTTGTTTCGTATCTGTTGGTATGATATTCGAATTTTTCTGTCGATATGTCGAAAAATATCCTGGAAAAGCCATTGTCAACGGATCTCGAATCAGTAGCATATTCAGAGAAAAAGCATATCATAAGAATGCTCAATCTTCTCATGATTATATTAAAAACAGCATCAATGAAACAGATAATGTATGTAAATATTTATCGGCTTCGAAATATCAAATACTATATTCATGTTCCATTTGATAATGATTATGAATCTCATCAATGCACACTACTCGCTACTACTATAGGTATAGACGTGTCTTGTCCACTTTGCAATAGTTTTCTATTTTTCTTTTACGTACTTTTGTACTCTATTATATCAATTACTACTTAACGTTTTATACGTAATAAATTATAGCTCAGTGAGAATTTTTCACGAGACATGATGACTCTCACAAGTTGATTTCCGTGTAGGCTGAAAGTTTCAATATTTGCTGTCTATTGTAATCGCTGAATTCGATCTCTATACTATTGTCCAACTATATGATATTCAGAGTAGCCATGAAGATAATGACTTAGAGTACGCTGCATATTCCGTTTTCCTATCAATCACAATATATATCCGAGACCTTGTGATATTTCTTGCAAAGTTGAATTCGCCATATACTCTGGAAATTGATGTGAGGATATCATGCTGAAATAATCATTTCAGTATTCTCAGAGCACTATTCCTCTTGTTCTTTGTTGTTCAGCTTTGATAATACTGTCACAAAACAACATCAACTCACTCACGTACTTGGTCGCAAGCGTTTCATATCTGGGAATTTTGTTCTTTCTTTTCGTAGTTACCAGCAATGACATCATACAACTGCACATCAGTGATATTATTTTGATGAATGATTTGTCATACGGTTGTGCGCAACTGCAACAAAACATAACTTTTCTCCCAGTCATGTTTTCCCTTCCTGTTCTTTCTGTGTCATCATACTACGTTGCTTGTGAGGAAAATCTCTCCTCGTATGACCTTATTATTTCTTGTGATGACACAATGAGATGACGCTGCAAGTTACCTATTATAAATACTCGATCAAAACTCTCATGGATTCATTCATGATCATCTTCAACTACCTCGATTTCGATAGTCTTCTTCAATTAATATACAAACACATCTTCATACAACTCAAGTACAGTCAAGAATGAATCATTGTCTTTCTCATATCGTCGCCATCATTCTTATTAGAAAACTTGTCATAAGATTTTTTTTATGAAAAACGCATTCTCAAATAACAGTTTTGTAATTAATAACAACAGTAAACGAAGTTTTTCCTTGTAAGAAGTACAGATGATTGTCAAAACCGAGAATCATCTCATAAGTCTTATGAAAAGAAGTGTCTAGGATTTCCAATAATCTTTGGTGAATGACTAAAAGCTCGCTAGTTTGACGTTTCCTTTGAAACAAATCAAATTATCTATTCGTATATCGTTATCTGAAAACAAAAATTCCTTTCAGTCATCTGTTATTGTGCTGTCAAACTTATTCGACGCATGATCATAGTTTTCAATGTGCATCTCAAGATGTACGATTCAGATTTTCATAAATGTTATTCATCTGTCATACTTCAAACCATAGTACCTATTTTCTGATGATTAGAAGTCATTGGGCATTATTGTTAATCGTATTCTCTGAAACTTACAAAATATTCATCGAATAGGATCTCTGATCGATTACACTTCATATTTTTGTTTCAGAAGCCTTGAAAAAGCAACGACAAAAACCATAATTGAAATCACAAATGATTAATATTATTTCATATTCGACTTTATATGGATTTTGATCATTCACTGTGTCTATTGAGCTTTCAAATGCTCATATTCAGTGGAATGGAAATAATTGGGCCATGTCTTGTGATTTTCATGGAAATGATCTTTGGAATGTTCAAATTTCGGGCGAACATTGTGGTGGACATTGTGCTGCAACTCCTGAATGTACTCATTTTACAAGGACTAAGTACAACGGTGGTGCTTGTTGCATGAAGAAAGGTCCTATTTCGAAAGATAACGCCTTTCGAACCAATGATCCATTTATGGTCTATGGTGTAAGAGATAATATTGGGAGGGGGGGGAGTACCATC